CCCTTCCTCACTCCCCAGGTGTTCAAGCAGCCCTGGCCAGGGATCATGCGCACAGTCTATGGGAACCATGAACGCTTTGAGACAACCTACTTTAAGAAGTTCCCTGGATACTATGTTACAGGAGATGGTGAGCGTTAGCTATCCCCTTCTTGCACCTCCCACTAAGACATGTACCTTCAACTTCCATTTTCAGGAAGAGTTGGTGTGTTGCTATAAAAGAGTACCTGAGACTGGGTGACTTATAAAGAAAAAAGATTTATTTTGGATCATCATTCTTCGGGCTGTACAGGAAGTATGGTGCTGGCATCTGCTTCTGGTGAGGCCTTAGGTACCTTCCAATCATGGCAGAAAGCGGAGGGAGAGCCAGTGTATGACATGGCAAGGGAGGAACCAAGGGAGAGAAGGAGGAGCTGCCAGCCTCTGTTAAACAACCAGATCTTGCATGAACTCATAGAGTGAGAACTCACTCATTACTGCAAGTATAGCACCAAGCCATTCATGAAGGATCTGCCCCCCATGACCAAAACACCTCCTACCAGGCCCCACCTCCAACACTGGGGATCACATTTCAACATGAGATTTGGAAGGGAAAAACATCCAAACTAGATCAGTTGGTTAGGGGTAAAGAAAATCAGAGAAGAATGTGTCCTACATGTCAGTATCTGGTATCTAGCCAGAGCTACAAAGAAGAATGTAAGGGCAGGAATGATATAGCAGGAGTCGTCTCAGGATGGTGCCATCTGAACTTTGATGTACGAGGAAAGATGTACAATGTATGTTCCTGTGTTGAAAGAGATGGGGCATGTGGCAGTACATAGTATTATGACATATTTGTCTCCATGTTTGGAGCCTGTGTTTGTCCATTTATTCATCCACCAAGCCATTCATCCATAAGATCTGAGCACCTATTGTGTCTAGGCACTGATCTAAGCACAGGGGCTATTATCATGAATAATATAGTCAAAGTCTCTTCCCTCATGGGGAAGAGGAGGATTCTAGTAAGGGGAGATAGACAATAAGCCCAGCAAACAAATAAATAAGCTTATTTTAGGTAGAGATAAGTGCTATGAAGAAAAATAAACAGGGTAACATGATAATGAGTGTTTGCAGGGATGGCTACTGAACAGGATAGTCAGAGAATACTTCTCTGAAGTGACATTAGAGCAGAGACCTGAAGCCCAAGAAGGAAACAGGCATAATCTAGAGTAAAAGTGTTCTGTGCAGAGGGACACAAGCTTGAGATGTCTGAGGAATGGACTGAAGCCTGTGCGGCTGGAGTGTAGCAAGCAAAAAGAAGAATATTATGTGACGTTGGAGATGTATGTAATATAGGGAGGGTAGAAAGAAAAAAAAAAAGAAAAGAAAACGTAATATAGGGAGGGTCTTGTGGGCCATGGTGAGGAGTTTGAATTCTATTCAAAGTATAGTGGGAAACCTTTTGGGGTTTTAAGCAGGGGAGTGCTAAGAACTGATTTACTGTCCAGAAAATAACTTTGGCTGGGCACAGTGGCTCACGCCTGTAATCCCAGCACTTTGGGAGGCTGAGACAGGTGGATCACTTGAGGTCAGGAGTTCAAGACCAGCCTGGCCAACATTGTAAAATTCTGTCTCTTAAAAAAAAAAAGAAAGTAACTTTGCCTTTAGGTGAGTATACTAGTTATCTCTATTGCCATGGAACAAATTATCCCAAAAGTTGGAAACTTAACAAATATTATCTCATACAGTTTCTGAGGATCAGGAGTCTGTGAACAGTTTAGCTGGGTTGCTCTCATTCTGGGTCTCTTGTGGGTTTCAGTTAAACTGTTGGTAGGGGCTATAGTCATCTGAAGATCTGACTGAGCCTGGAGGACCTATGTTCATGCTCACTTGCATGCTTGTTAGCAGGAATCCTCAGTTCCTCACCTCGCCATAGGACTGCTCACAACATGGCACTGGCTTACCCCACAGCAAATGATCTGAGACAACACAACCAAGACAAGCTAGATATCTTCTACAACCTAATTTCAGAAGTGACATCCTATCACTTCTGCCAAATTCTGCTGATAACACAGACTAACCCTAGTACAATGAGAAAGAGGACTGCCAGGGCTGTGAATACCAAGAGGCAGAGATCAGCAGGGCCATCTTGGAGGCTGGCCACCACAGAGGGCAAAAGTAGAAGCAGAAGACTTGTTAGAAGGCTATTGCAGAGGGTATGGCAGTTTGGTAATCTGGATCAGGTACCCTACTGAAGGGTTTTTATTTAGTAGGTTTTGCATTTCTTCCCAGGCTGCCGGCGGGACCAGGATGGCTATTACTGGATCACTGGCAGGATTGATGACATGCTCAATGTATCTGGTGAGGGCCAGGGGCCACCTTCCCATCTCATTAACTCTGCTCCTCTGGCAACACCCAGTGGAAGCCTTCCATGAGAGCCCACAAGTGTCCTTTGGCCAGACCATGTATGTACTAAGTACAGCATTCAGTTCCAGGCCCAGGTTTTAGGAGTCATGAACACTGGAATGTACCTGGAATAGGGGAACTGGGATGGTGGGGTGACTGAAAGCATGTCATGTGAGGACTGAATGAAGGGCCTTTTCCATTTGATCAGATCAGGACTGTCCTGTGGGTACAGATGGAGCAGGGGCTGGGGCAGAGGCTGGGATCTCTCTCATGGCGCTTCCTTTCTCTTGACAAGGACACCTGCTGAGTACAGCAGAGGTGGAGTCAGCACTTGTGGAACATGAGGCTGTTGCAGAGGCAGCTGTGGTGGGCCACCCTCATCCTGTGAAGGGTGAATGCCTCTACTGTTTTGTCACCCTGTGTGATGGCCACAACTTCAGCCCCAAGCTCACCGAGGAGCTCAAGAAGCAGAGTGAGGAGCCTCCCTGGGCAGGGACTATAGGGTCTGTCTTGGAGGCCCAGTTATCATTGCAAGTTGTTGGGGAGGGGCTAGAGTGAGCTGCTCCCCAAACCACAAACGTATTCCAGAAGGCCCTATGGGCTGATTGCCCTCTTCCTGTTCAGTCTCTACTAGTCTCCCACTAGGATAATAATAATGGCCAACATTTATAGAATACTTCATGCCACCACTAGGCTAAGTGGTTTAAATGAATTACCCCACTCAATCCCTATAGTCACCTCCATGAAACAGATCTTAGTGTTACCTTCATTCTAAAGATGATGAAACTGAAACTCATAGAAGGTAAGTCACTTGCCCAAGGCCTCTAGAAAGGTGGCATTTAAACTCTAGCAGGCTCATTCTACAGCCTGAGTTCCATAAGCTAAAATGAGAGAGTAAAGAGACATTGTGTTGAGAGCAAGAGAAGCAGTGATCCTGAGGCTGTCTCTGGGCAGGGCCTTGAAAAGGAAACAGGTGGGGAACAAAGCCATCTTTACTTTGGTTTTTAAAAGTCTGGCTAAGGGTGCTGAAAATGTTTGATGATTTGTTGGTTACAGTTAGAGAAAAGATTGGCCCCATTGCCACACCAGACTACATCCAGAATGCACCTGGCTTGCCAAAAACCCGCTCAGGTATGTTCAGAGGCCTCCATGGATTGGGATGGGCTGAGGTCTGGTGGTGGGGGGGTGTGTGGATGAAAGCCTGTGGCAGGGCTGGGGCGGGTCAGTCCTTTCACCAAGTAACTAGAAGTCTGTGGTTCCCCAGGGAAAATCATGAGGCGAGTGCTTCGGAAGATTGCTCAGAATGACCATGACCTGGGGGACACGTCTACTGTGGCTGACCCATCTGTCATCAGTCACCTCTTCAGCCACCGCTGCCTGACCATCCAGTGAACATGACCCTGACCTTTACCCAGGATTCCCCCTGCTTGGCTCTCCAAACTTTTGCGCATCCTCTTTGCCCCCTCAGGAGTGCTGAGGGCCAGTACTGACCCACACTGCCCTCCCTTGACCAGCTATCTGGGACCGGAAACCAGCCTCGTACCCGTGTGGAGACCACTTCCTTTGACTGCCAGGCAGAAGGGACAGAGCCCAGGTCAGCCTCAGTCTGCTATGCCTCCAGACTGCAGAGCTCTCAGAACCCAGAACAGGGATAAAAAGGCTACCTCTCCAACCCAAGTTAAGTGTTCAGAAGGGATGTGAGGGCCTCCACTGAAGCAGGGAGGCAGCTGTGTAATCCTATGTCAGTTCTCTTAGGAACCACCATGCTTATACTGGGCATGTACTTGTCCTTAAAAACAATGGCTTGTGAGTCCAGGAACAATTTATTATTTTTAAAATATTTTGCTGCTTCTTCTGTTCTGGGTCTGAATTCCCTTTTGTGCCTGATGCCATTACTGTCTGCCCATTTGCTCCAGGGGCTGTGTGGGCAGATTCAGTCTCCAGAGGGTATTCAGATCATCTGCTTCTTTGAAGGAGTAAATGTGTTTTGTTCCTAGGGCCAGAGGAGCTTGTCTTCCTTGTCCCCTGTTCCCCCCTCCCCTGAACAGAACTCTGCCCATGGAGACATTCTGAGATGAAATTCTGGGTTTTTTTTTTTTGCCCCAGTCAGTCTCAAGCCCTGTGGTTGTAGGAATAAAGCCTGTGATCTCAAGAAGATGATGACTTGTTTTCTTAGGTATCTGTGCACTGAGGCTGTGTATTCATTAGTGGCAGATAGGAAGGGGAGGGGTATTTCCTAGGACTACCCCCAATATCTTCCTTCTAGAACTTTTGGTTTGGGCAGCGCCAAGGAGGCTTCACTGATAGGCCATTTGACAAGCCCCTGAGCTAAGCAGGAAAGTGATAGAAGCCAGTTCACTGGCAGGAGGGAACATGTTATGTCCCATCATGGTTGCCTTCCCTCCTGGGCTCCAGCCAGGGAATCTCCTTCCTCCTATGATCCAGTAGGAGCATTAGTGGGTGGCTAAGAATTGCAACTTCAGGGTCCCACCTGTAGAGTCTGGGTCTAGGGAGACCCTGATTACAGCCCAGTCACTTCCCCTGCTCTAATATACCTTAAGTGGGCTGACGTAGGTTAAAGCTCCCCTATCCCTTCTATGCACAAAGTAAGGAATCACTGAATTAGCAATGCAGCTTTATTTAAGGCAGAATTGGGGAAAGGCTATGCCCCTCCACTCTCTTTCCTCCTACCACTCAGTCCTATCCCAAGTCAGGCACTGGAACCTGCTGAAAAGGCTATAAGGGGCTGACAGAAGCGGGGCAGGGTTCATGGACCTTTACCTCAGAGCTTTCCCTCAGCTGTACCCACACCCCAAAGATTTGGGGGCCTCTAGATCTCATCTAAGGGAAACACAGCTTTTCTGGTCCTCAGATGGAGAGCTGGGGGAAAGTATCACCATTTACCCTTCCATAAAGACTCTGGAGGTCTTTAGGAGGACAGCCCCTCAGGAGGGCTAGGAGAGGAATGACAAATACAGGGGAAAGAAGGTCCTGTGGGCCTGGTTGTGCCCTCACACAGGGTATGGGTTGTCCAGGACTGCCACTCCTGCTGCCACACCACCATCTGCATGCTCGATGGCTTTGGTTCGAAGTAGATGCCCCACGTGCTTGTTCATCACGAGTGTCTTTCCCTGCCTATAGGAATGGAAGCAGGAGACACACATCACCAGGACTCAGCCACAAACCCAGGACCTTCCCTTGTCCCCACTGAACAGTACATGGGTAACTATACCCAAGGAAGTGCTAGGTTTTTAGAGCCTCTATTCGTCTCTGGAGTCTCCTTCTAGCCCTAGATTGTCAAAGTATGTTTTCTGAGTCCTTCTTTGTACTATTTGGAGTTTTCTTCACAGTTGCAAAGCACTTCTCATCAGGGCTTCATTTGGTACCCTGGTGAGGTGGGCAGGCCTTGGGTCCTTGGCCTCATTTAATAGATAAGGAAACAGGTAACAAAGCTAGGGATTGGCCGAGCTAGCACCGAAGCCCAGGATTCCTGACTCTTTCCAGTGTTCCCTCTAGGCTTACTTGGCTGGCACTCTTGCAAGCAGGCAGTGGAAAGAGCTTCTGCTGACTGGCTCACCTGACATAGACTCCAAAGATGCCTAGCTCTGAAACACACTGGACCACTTGGACAGGGCTGCCAGGCCGTAGCAGGCAATTATCAAAAGGCTCAGGTTCGATCTTCTCCATGAGGATGTAGGAGGCCCTCTCCTCAGTGTCCTTCAGCCGCTTCAGGGCCTGCACCATTTCTTCCCCATATAGGTTGTTACCTGCAATGAAACTGGCCAGTCACCCTGGATCCTCTGCCTACCTTCTCCATCCATGCCCTCACTTCTGGGGCCACATGGGCAAGTCAGCAGCCTCAGTTCCTGGCACCAGCTCAGTGAAGCCAGGGCATATCTGGTTCCCCAGAAGGGAAGCTCACTTTGACAGGAGAGCCCATGCTCATGTGGTGAACACGCCTTCCATCACTGTTCTGCCCTGGCTCTCCTCCTACCTATGGCTGTTCCTTCTCAAGCTCCATTACTGGCTCCTTCTTTTAAATGCTGGAGCCCCAGAAGAACTGGTCTCCATGCTTGCTCTCTCTTCCATGTACCTTTTCCCAGGTTTCTCCTATTCCCAAGGCTCCATCTATACCCTAAAAATTGTTAACTTCCAAATTTTTTTTTTTTTTTTGAACAGAGTCTCGCTTTGTCACCCAGGCTGGAGTGCAGTGGCGTAGTCTCAGCTCATCGCAATCTCTACCTCCCGAGTTCAAGTAATTCTCCTTGCCTCAGCCTCCCAAGTAGCTGGGACTACAGGCGCATGCCACCATGCCTGGGTAATTTTTTGTATTTTTAGTAGAGATGGCGTTTCACTGTGTTAGCCAGGATGGTCTCGATCTCCAGACCTCATGATCCACCTGCCTTGGCCTCCCAAAGTGCTGGGATTGCAGGCGTGAGCCACCATGCTTGGCTACTTCCAAATCTTTAATGCAGGCTCCCAGCTTAGACATCATATGACTGTCCCACAGGACCCCAAACAAACTAACTTGTCTAAGCAGAACTCATTACTTCTGCCTGAACCTGCCCCTCCTGGACCTTCCTACTCCCAATCAGGCAAAAGGCATCCCTGAGTCATATTTAACATCCCTCCTGGACCTCCTACTTCCAATCAGGCAAAAGGCATTCCTGAGTCATATTTAACTCCTTCCTTTCCACTCCCCCTCTCACTATCTAGGGCATGTCTCTCCAGCCGGCTCCACAGTCATAGCCCTAGCCCAAGCCTCTGCATTGCTCTTCTGAACAACAGTATCAGCCTCTTCCATTGTTTCTCTGCTACCAAGGTCTCCCCTCATTCCAGGACATCTTCTACAACACAGAAACTTTCTAAGTTTTGCCACCATTGCTAACTACTTGAATCCTGGATCAATGCATCCCTTCCCTGCTTAAAACTCTCTAATGGCTTCCTACTACCCTTAAGATAAAATCAAATTTCTCAGTATATATTCCATGCCCTTTATAATCATGATGCCATCCATTTATCTTGCCGAAATCCCTGTCCCATCCCAGCTCCCCTTCCAGCCTCACCAGTTTCTTACTAACCTCCAAACATACCACACTTTCATGGCCCAATGCCTTTGCTTGAGGTTGTCCCTTCTTTATGGGACACTTTTCCTCCTTTCCACCTGAGAAATTCCTACCCACCGCTTAAGACAAAGATTTAAAAAAAATCCTCTCTTCTGAGTCTATGAGGCAGATATGACCCCTGACCTCAAGCAGTTTCGAACTAGAAAGGAAGACAGACATGTATTGTCTCCAGCCTAATATGACCCTATCCCACTTCCCAACAATCTACCCACAGGCACCTCAGGTTAAACTTGTCCAAACCCTTCAGTGCTAGTTAATTAGATCCTCTGTGCTCCCATACTTGGCCACAGTGTCTTAGGGGACACTGTCCAACATGTGACCTGTGTCAGTTTCAATAGTATCCCCCATGCCTGGGACTGTGCCCATAGTAAGGGCCAATGAGCACTGGCCACAACCTGATAGTCCCTTTCATTGAGGAGCCCTGCAAAAGGGGGATCCACCTACCTCCACCCTCTCTCTGGGGCTTTAGCACAAACCGGCTAGGGGCAGCAAGGGCCTCAGCAATGGCCTGGTCTCCTTCTTCACCCTGGCGGGAGGCAGAAGGCAGTTGTCAGAAGTTTAAAGGCGAAAGAGGCAAGAGCTTAGGTCCAGCTGGTTGTGCAGAGCAGCATCAGAGGAAGAGCAGGAAGGGGAACAGACATAAATTCCTTCAGGCGGGATGCTATTATCTGGATGACACTCCCAACAAACCACCTGCAGTGGCAGATGCAATGAGAGCAGGCCTTTCTTTAGCAACAGCTCAGAGCTCTGCAGCAAGCAGCCTGGTACAGTTCTCAATTCTTGCTACCTGCCTTAGTCCCTTCCCCCGTTTGCCATCCTCATCTGTACCTTTGCTGAGAGAGCTTACAATGGATTGCAGCCTCCATTCTTCCATCATGAGACTGCCCTTCTGCTTACAGTTCTGGGGGTTCTCCAGAGCATCACCAACCCTTGTCACAATGCCAGCTCCAGCCTCCCCAACACATTGAGCTCTAGGTCTCTACCACCTACAAGGCCTGTGGTAGGAGAAACAGGCTGGCCACATACCATGTCCAGTGAGTAGAGGCCAGCAAAGGTGGCACGGAGGCGGGCCACAGCCTCAGGCTGGCCAGGGAGCAACATCTCCAGCATGCCTGCCCTGCTCAGCTCCTGCTGCACCTTCTTAGTCCCAGCTAGCTGGGTAGCAATGTCTGGGCACTTGACAGCACATGACCTCTCCAGCAGTAGACGTGCTTCCCAGTTCTGCAGAGCAAAGAAGGCAAATGGAATTCAACTTTATTTTGCTTCAGCCGACCTTTACTGAACATCCAGGTATGATTTATATTTTCACCCTCATGATCACCCAGGATCATTGCAACATCCTTGTGAGCCAGGGGTGATATGTTATAGTTATGTATCATTGTGCCAGACTGTGAGACCCCCCCAAAAGGCAAGGCTCCCCTAATCTGTGGGAAACAACAGAAGGTGTAAGGGTGTAGAAAAAACTGAGTCAGCTTCCTAGCGTTCCATACTTGTTACCATGGCCTACAGGATCCTTCAGGACTTGGCTCCTGTCTACTTTTTCAACCTTGTACCATCCCTGACTCCTCGTCTCCTGCAATCTAGCCAATAGGCCTGTCATTCCTCAAATCGCAAACCTCTTTCCCTCCTCAGGGCCTGTACTGCTTTTCCCTTAGCCTGAAACCCCCTTCCTTTCAGCTTTTCCCATGCATAGCTGGATCCTTACCATCCTTAAGTCTCAGTTCAATGTCGCCTTTTCAGAGAAGGCTTCCCTGTCAACTCTATTTAATGTGGGTTTCCTATAATTCTCTATCTTTTCACCCAGTTGTTTCATTCAAAGCAGTTAGCTGAAACTAAAACACACACACACACACACACAAACACACACACACGCAATTTTTTTTTTTTTCTATTTTTGTTTACTTTTTTTGTTCTTTTGAGACAGGGTCTTGCTATGTCACCGAGGCCGGGGTGCAGTGATACAATCTTGGCTCACTGCAACCTCCACTTCCCGGGCTCAAGCGATCCTCCCTCCTTAGCCTCCCAAGTAGCTGGGACTACAGGTGCATGCCACCATACCCAGCTAATTTTTGTATTTTTTGTAGAGATGGGGTTTTGTATGTTGCCCAGGCTGCTTTTGAACTCCTGAGCTCATGCAATCTACCCACTTAGGCCTCTCAAAGTGCTGGGATTATAGGTATGACACACTGTACCTGGCCATATTTTTGTTTACTTTCTGATACCCACATCTCTGACCAGACTGTGAGCTCTGTAGCACAGGGCTCTTATCATTTGCCTTGTTTTCTCTTGTATCTCCAGTGTCTAACACAGGTCCTGGCACTTTGTGGGTGCTCAACAAATATTTGTTATTGTTGCTGAATAAGGTGAAATTTGAGTGGGGTTCTGAAGGATGGGTAGAGTCTGACAAGTGAGACTCAATGGGGAAGGGCTACTCAGGCTAAGAGAAAAATATGAACAAAGGCCTCAAGTGGGTGATCACAGGATGAATGGTTTATCACCACCAGAGCTGAGGGTATAAAAGGCAAGGAAACAGCAGGGAATCATGCCTCCCAACTCCGGTTCCCATTCTCATGCAGTAAGGAGATAGTCTGTCCTTGGCTCCAGACCTCTGCCAAATTGCACACAGCAGGATCAAGTCTTTCCTGTGACCACCCCCCAGCCAATGCTGTCCTTCCTTTGGTACTACTGGTCCACCTGTAGCACCTTCACCTTATCTTCATCAATAACCCCAGGCACCCAACTACTATTCTGGCATTCCACACAGAATCACAGGTGACCAGAACATCAGAGATAAACCCAGAGAAATGCTCCATTATGTTAGAAGCAGGAAAGCAAAACCAAAGATAAGCAAGGACTTGCCCAGGGTTACCTAGCAAGTCACTAAGCCTTGCAGATCTATCTCCACGTCTAAACCTGCTCTGAACGCTCAGTTCTCTAAAAATGTTTACCTCTTTAAATGCAACTTTCCTTCCTTGTTACCTCAAACTCTTCTAAGTTTTCTTTGTCCTGTTTTGTAATCTGGACCTATTTTCCCAATAGACAGTTTCTCTCTCCTCTAGTTGCAAGTTGCCATCACTGTTGACCACCTATCTAAAGAACGGGATCTTCTATAGAGATGCCACCTCTGTGGAGCTTCCCCATAGAGTTCAACCCTGAGGGGAGTCCTAGATGAATTACAGACCTAGAAGGAGCCCCCTCAATTTTCTAGTGTAGCTCCCCCAATTCAAAGAAACAGAGCTAGAAAGGGTCAGGAACCTGCCCCTCATCACAAAGAGGTAGTCAAGCTCATGACCTCCAGTTCACTGCCCATGTTGTTGTTGTTATTATTATTACTATTTTGAGACAGAGTCTCGCTCTGTCACCAGGCTGGAGTGCAGTGGCGCAATCTAGGTTCAGTGCAACCTCCGCTTCCCAGGTTCAAGTGATTGTCCTGCCTCAGCCTCCCGAGTAGCTGGGACTATGGGCGCCTAACTAATTTTTGTATTTTTAGTAAAGACGGGGTTTCACCATGTTGGCCAGGATGGTCTCGATATCTTGACCTTGTGATCCGCCCATCTCGGACTCAAAGTGCTGGGATTACAGACATGAGCCACCGCAGCTGGCCTGTCCATGGTATTTCTAAACTTATTTCCTCCTTTATCGTCTCCCAGCTGAGAGCAGAGCTTGTTAGCCTGTCCATGATGTGCATGTTAGGAGCAGAGGAGAAGAATGGGAATATTATCAGCCTGAAAGTCAGAAAGCCTGGGAACGTCCTGTGGGACCTTAGAGAAGCCTCTCCATCTCTCTAAACGTTAGTTTCTCCATCTGTATAATGGGGACAATTATACACCTCACAGAGTGGTTGTAAGGGTTCAGTGAAATAATGGATGTGGAAGGTAATCATGAAACTACATGGTAGGATAGCAAAATAAGGTGATATTACTGTCATTAACATGAATGAGGAGATGATAAAACTTTCTGATTCAGATAAAGGAGAGATAAGAGTTGGCAGAAAGAAAATGGTCAGCAGTATGCTAGAAGTGGCTTACATCAACTAGTGAGAGCTGAATGTTGTTAAACATTTGCCAGCACATCTCTGGAAACAGTGTAAATGGCTGAAGCTCTGTAGATTCCTGAGGATTCAAATTCTAGAAGACTGTGTTTGTTGAGTGAGAGGTAGCAAAAGGCTTGAGGAAGGATAGGAGGTTCTAGCAGCAAGCTCCCCAATAAAGAATTGAAGTGAGGACTCAGGAAAACCCAGGTTGTTATAAGCCTGAGTTGGGTTTCCATGGAGCTCTTGTGGGTCCCAGGAGGCAAAGAATGGTCTCAAAGAAAATACCAACCTGTAGACTGTACTGACAAGGCATGTAGCCATCCCGGAAGTAAACCACAGCAATTTCCTGGCCATCCCTAGAACACATGATGGAGAAAGCTGCTGTGTTAAATTATAACTGATATGTTCAGTGGTTCAATCTATTTCAGGGTACATCAAGATGAATTTGGCTTTTTCTCTTTTTTTTTGTTTGACACAGAGTATTGCTCTGTCACCAGACTGGAGTGTAGTGGTGCAATCTTGGCTCACTGCAACCTCCGTCTCCTGGGTTCAAGAGATTCTTCCGCCTCAGCCTCCTGAGTAGCTGGGACCACAGGCGAGTGCCACCACGCTCGGCTAATTTTTGTATTTTTAGTAGAGACGGGGTTTCACCATGTTGGCCAGGATGGTCTCAATCTCTTGACCTTGTGATCCGCCCACCTCGGCCTCCCAAAGTGCTGGGATTACAGGCGTGAGCCACCACGCCTGGCAAATTTGGCTTTTTCAAAATTCAGCCCACAGTGGAAGCCTGGTCAGGGGTTCACTGGAACCAGTGAAAGTAGATATCCACACTATCAGGGCTTCCACTGGAAACAGGGAGGTATGTAGCATGGAACACTTTAGAATATTCCAGATTTAGAGTCATTCTAAGAAGGCCAGAAGGAACAAGAAGGTAACTAGAATCAAATTAGGTAAATGCATAAAAATGTTGGCTGGAAATTACCGAGCAGCAGGATCATACTGCCATATGTAGTAAAACACACTTTGTATTTCCACAGCTGAAATGAGGATGCAATGTTTTTTTGTTTGAGATGGAGTCTTGCTCTGTTGCCCAGGCTGGAGTGCAGTGGTGCAATCTCAGCTTACTGCAACCTCTGCCTTCTGGGTTCAAGCAATTATTTGCCTCAGCCTCCTAAGTAGCTGGGATTACAGGCGCCCACCACCATGCCCAGTTAATTTTTGTATTTTTAGTAGAAACGGGGTTTCACCATCTTGGCCAGGCTGGTCTTGAACTCCTGACCTTGTGATCCACCCGCCTTGGCATCCCAAAGTGCTGGGATTATAGGTGTGAGCCAGCATGCCTGGCCTCTGAAAAAAATGTTAATGGCAGGGGTGAAGGTGGAAATGCAAAGATGTAAAATTATGAGTCTGGTTATAAGACAAAGACTTTTTAAACTTCTTTTCCTTTTCTTTGACCTGTTTGATATTGTCTAGTTTATCTAAAAGTAAGTTAACTGCTTTGTTTTGTTATAATAAAAGCATATTTTAGGCCGGGCGCGGTGGCTCAAGCCTGTAATCCCAGCACTTTGGGAGGCCGAGGCGGGTGGATCACGAGGTCAAGAGATCGAGACCATCCTGGTCAACATGATGAAACCCTGTCTCTGCTAAAAATACAAAACATTAGCTGGGCATGGTGGTGCGTGCCTGTAATCCCAGCTACTCAGGAGGTTGAGGCAGGAGAATTGCCTGAACCCAGGAGGCAGAGGTTGCGGTGAGCCGAGATCACACCATTGCACTCCAGCCTGGGTAACAAGAGTGAAACTCCATCTCAAAAAAAAAAAAATAAATAAAAGCATATTTTGAAAAACAATGAATGGTGGTGTGAAATTCCATGGATAGTCTTAATTTTAACAATCACAAAGTTCTAGGTCTAAATATACATGCTGCAATGGTACCCAAATATGTAACACTCAATCTACCTGGTGGTGGCCCCTAGAGAGAAGGATGACTTGGCTTGGAACACAAATCTAGGCCCGAGCTCAGAGAGTGGCATCCAGGCCAATCACAGAATGAGCCAGCTGCTCCTCTTCCTCCCTGACTGCCCAGCTCAGCTTCTCAGGCCTGATCTGACCTTATTAAAAGGGATAAGAAAACTTTTAGGAACTTAGGGCATATGAAAACTAAGATGATCTCTAAGGAGACCCTGATCCAGAATGTCAACAGCTCTGATAGAAGCAGACTGCCTTTCTCCAAAATTTTCTGAGGGGATGAGATATTTCAGAAATTAGGAGAGAAGGAACAAGCCATTGCATCTCCCAGAAGAAAGAAGCATTTGGGGGAAGTGGGGGGCAGGATGAGTTTCATAAAGCAGCCTTCCACTGAATTCTTGGGAATGCTTACACAAACAGCCTTCGGTCTTGGTCCAGAGATCCCTTTTCAGAGATAGCTTCAAATCTTCGTCGGATCACGTGGATGTTCCTGGGAAAAATGGTGAAGAGCCAGAGGGAATGGATGCTATGTTTTGGGTGGCCCCCCCCAATCTTGGAGCCATACCTAGAAGTGCCCCTTCCTTTACTTACCTGGCCAGTAGTTCATTCTCTATGGCACGCTGGTCAAATATGTTTCTTTCCTTCTCTTGAGCAATCAGTAGCACCAGAGCACTGGGGAAAGAGCACAGGTAGCCCAAGGCTACTACAGAACTTGTTCTTCCTTTGTTTGTCCCCTCAACCCCCATACCGCCCCACCTCCAGGAATAAGAATAAGAACACAGGTTCCCTGAAAGACAATATATTCCCTGGAATAAGAATAAGAACACTGCTTCCCTGAAACAGCAGATATTCCCTCTCTCAGGAACCCTGGGATTGCCTCAGGCATAGACACCTGATGCTATGATTTCCTGAAAACAGAAAACTTCAAAAATGAAGATGCCTCTGACCCTTCTCCAACAGGCAGATGAAATATTGTAATGATGTCATGGGTTGATGAATTTTTGTGCAAATTAAAATTTAGATTTAAAGCCATTCTCAACCAAGAGAACTTTTTCTTAGAACTTAACATAATAATTCTAAAATCTCTCTGGAAGAATAAACAAGTGGGAGCACTGAGGAAAATTTTATAAAAGAACAACGCAGGGGGTCAGGGGCTAATGGCTCTATTACTAAATTGTAAAGGATACAAAAAAGGGGTGTGGTTCTTACATGAAATGGAACCCTACAGAAACCCACAGTGCCAACTACAAACAAGGCATTATCTCCTGGGGCCTCCCAATATTCCTGTAACGTACACAGGGCCACGTTTGATCTCATAGTATTAATGAGATCACTAGGGCTTACGTGGCTTCTTTGTCTCTGATTATTCATATATTTCTTTTTTTTTTAAAAAAAAGCAAGGAATTCATTATAATTACAAAGAAATGTCTTTAGCAGTGTGAGTAGGCTTGGAGGGAATGAATTATGGATTCAGGCTCACAGTTTCAAGGATTCTCAAGGTTCTCCTGAAGAAGATTATATATTGACTTTATATTTGGCAATAATTTATAAATCAATAAGTGCTTTAGTGACCTTGTCCTTAAGTGTGCAACAGTGCCCTCTTAGAAATGACCCTTTATTGTGTGAGGCTACACAGGCTTGGGAAAGCCCATATTGAGGAGTTCCGTTAACAAAAGGGACCCTTTGTCTGATCTGCTCTTCTACTTTGCCCTCTGCTTACCACCTTGGCTGTCTTAGTCCCTTTGTTTTCAGTATGGAAACAAATTAGGAGGTTAACAGGTCTAGGTAAACTCCTAACCTGGCATTCACCTGGTACCAGAGCAGGCAAGCAGTTGATCTAGAAATAGATCCTGGGGCAGTGGTATAGGCTAGGGGGTATTGAGGAGCCTCATGTACCTAGACAGAGAGGAACCACCAAGGTCTAAAGCCACCAGTGGCTTTTAACTTCTTCTTTTTTTTTTTTTTTAAAGGAAAAAAAGAAAAAGAAAGAAAGAAAAAAAGAACAAAGGAGAGGAAGAAAGAGGAAGAGTTAGAGGGAGAGCGAACGGGAGTGTTGCTTTATTGCCCAGGCTGGAATGCAGTCTAAAAATGGGTATTCATGTATTTCTTAAAGAGGCAGGGGCTTGAGGACTCAGGGAAAAGCTTATGCCAGAGAACTATCTGTTTGGCTGCCAGCTAAGATAGCTCCATTGTCAAAGATAGGTTCAGTCCCCTAACAGATTCTTAGGGTGAGTGCTCAGCAGTACCAAACTCCATTTTTTTTCTTTTACATTTTATTTATTTAATTTTTTTTGAGACTGAGTTTCCCTCTGTCACCCAGGCTGGAGTGCAGTGGTGCAATTTAGGCTCACTGCAGCCTCCACTTCCTAGGTTTCAATGATTCTCCTGCTTCAGCCTCCCCGGTAGCTGGGATTACAGGAGTGCACTACCATGCCTTGCTAGTTTTTCTATTTTTAGTAGAGATGGGGTTTCACTATGTTGGCCAGACTGGTCTCGAACTCCTGGCCTCGGGTGATACATCCCCCTCAGCTTCCCAAAGTATTAGCATTACAGGCGTGAGCCACTGCGACCAGCCTCCATGCTCCATTTTTGCTGTGGCTATACTGCTTTGTGCCTGTGGCTTCCTCCTGAGACCCATGGAATGCTAGGCTTTGGCTTAGGATTCTAAGTGTATTTCCCTGACCTCCTCTACTTGGCCTCTCTTGTCTATCTCTGTTTCTCCTGACCTTGGCTGAACTTGGACTAAACTCTGTTTGCCTGACTCCTTTCTGCTTAGCCAAAATCCAGGTCTTAGTAAGTCCCCTCTCCTGGTCTGCCTGAAATCTCATGAGGTCAGACATGATATTAAGTTGAGTCTTGGCTTTGAGTTGGGTGTCTGAGACACAAACTAAAAGTGGTGCTCTCCCAAGTCACCTTGCCCTGAGAAAGTCCCAAGGGCCAATGGCTTTGCTCTTCACTTTGCAGCCTAACTCATGTCTCACTCATGGGTGAGGCTATGTGTAGGAGGGTGGCAATTGGCCCAGGCTGGCCCACCTCCAAAAAGAGGCAGAGGAGGAAGGCTGGCAGCTGGAGGTTAAAGTGGAACTGCAAACCCCAGCTAATTAAGTCAGCCTGCCAACTGCAAAACAATCGGAGCCAGGCTCAGAAACATATTCAACCTCTTTTTGCCTTCAGTTCTGAGCACTCTATTTCCAAGTGGGACTAGGAAAATTAAGGTCAGTTAAAGAAGGTGACCTGACAATAGCATGCTGGCTGGGGATGAGGACCCCTGAGTGCTAGTGCTGGCTCTGCCAGTTACTTGTAGTATGTCTTGGTAATTGACTTGGGTAAGGCAATTTCATTCCTTGGGCCATGGGTTTCCCATCTATAAAATAACGGTGTTAAAAAGATCACAGTTCCCAACCTTTTATCACTAGGAATCCCCTTTTCTTAATCTACTCATTCTAACCACAGGCCCTATGCTTTCAGAGTTTGTCTAAATTGAAATCGTAATTCATTTTGCAGGATTCCATTTTTAAAAAAATTTTAAAAATTTTAAAAATCATGAGATAATTGATGAAAATTCATCTGCTCTACCAATGCAGTTTTTCAGTCAATACTATGGAACCATATCTCTTAGAGGCAGAACAGAGAAGTAGAAAGAACACAGGCTTCAGGGGCAGATGAATTCTATACTTACCAGTTGTATAATTTTGGGCAAGTTATTCAAACTCTCTGAGCCTCAGTTTGCTATTGTATGAATTAAAACTAATACAAACTAACACAAATACAAATGATGCCTGGCTAATTTTTGTATTTTTCATAGAGACAGACTTTCACTATGTTGGGCAGGCTGGCCTTGAACTCCTGACCTCTGGTGATCCACCTGCCTTGGCCTCCCAAAGTGCTGGGATTAGAGGCGTGAGCCACCATGCCTGGCCTATTATTATTATTGAAAGTACCACATAATGATCCACACAGAGTTTTTAAAAACATTTTTCAGATCGATGATCTAATTTAATTCTCACACCCTTTTAGGTATTATTATTACTCCTGTTTCACAAATGAGGAAACTGAAGCTCAGAGAAGAAAAGAACTAACTTGCCAAGGTTATGTGTTAGTTCAGCAGAAGAGCCTATCTCACTCTCACAATGGGGGAAGCCAGTTCTGGCTCAGGTGCCACATAACTCCTACCTACCAGTGCCTAACTCTGGACACACAAGTATGTTATTGACAGGCTGGCAGGCAAAACCCTGTGCAGTGTTTGTCTGTCAGCAGTCCCCTAGCTGACCCATCCCCTGGCTTCCCTCTCTTAAAATACAACCTAGTCAATATACTTGAAAGAATATTTGTCTGATGATTTCTAAATGCTTGGAGCCTAAGGTTTCTTAGGTTTTAGTGAGGCTTAGCAAGGACAGAGAGGCTCTCTTGGAGGTAAGAGCATGATTAAGAGTGCACGTTTTGGAGGGAGGTAGACTTTGGTATCTGTCACCAACTCATCACTTAGCCTTGAACAATCCTGAGGTCAGTTCTCAGGACCTCAGTTTCCTCCTCTACAAAATGAGGAAGTTGAACAGTATCGACCTCAGAGAGCTTATTATGAGAATTCGATGAGATCCTGTATGTACAGAGCTTAGCACAAGATGTGGCACTAGTAAGTGTATATTAAGGACTATTAATGCCATATTAACATTGCAATAACTGTTAGTATAGTGGCCCCTCGATGATCTGAAAATCACTTACCTAACATCTTCACACATCTGGAAAACATTTGAGAAATAGAAAGAAAGCAAAAAATGCCTCTAAGCAGTTAAAAAGGATATCATAAAATTCCTTAGTCAAAGCTTATGTATTTACTCATCAAAGAGGCCCTCACACTCTTCAGACCCAATCATAACAATCTGGATCATTTGCTTTCCCAAACCATGGTAAATCAGAAGAGAGGCACGGGCATGGGAGTGGACGATTCCAAGTTCAAGCATACCAACAGCAGTCAAAAGTAGGAGCTGCCCAGGCGTGGTGGCGCGTGCCTGTAGTCCCAGCTACTTGGGAGGCTAAGGTGGGAGGATCGCTTGAGCCCAGGAGTTCTGGGCTACAGTGCGCTATGCTGATCGGGTGTCTGCACTAAGTTCGGCATCAATATGGCGACCTCCCGGGAGCAGGGGACCACCAGGTTGACTAAGGAGGGGTGAACCGGCCCAGGTCGGAAACGGAGCAGGTCAAAACTCCCGTGCTGATCAGTAGTGGGATCGCGCCTGAGAATAGCCACTGCAGTCCAGCCTGGGCAACATAGCAAGACCCCGTCTCTATTTTTTAAAAACAACAACAACAACAACAAAAAAGAAAAGTAAGAGCTGAGAATTGGGAAATGGACAAGAAAACTATGAAGAAAATGAATGAGAGGCTGGGTGTGGTGGCTCATACCTGTAATCCCAGCACTTTGGTAGGCTGAGGCGAGCGATCATGAGGTCAGGAGTTCAAGACCAGCCTGGCCAACATAGTGAAACCGCATCTCTACTAAAAAATACAAAAATTGGCTGGGCGTGGTGGCTCATTCCTATATTCCCAGAACTTTGGGAGGCCGAGACAGGTGGATCATGAGGTCAGGAGTTCGAGACCAGCCTGGCTAATATGGTGAAACCCCGTCTCTACTAAAAAATACAAAAATTAGCTAGGTGTGGTGGTGTGCGCCTGTAGTCCCAGCTACTCAGGAGGCTGAGACAGGAGAATCGCTTGAACCCAGGAGGTGGAGGTTGCAGTGAGCCGAGATAACGCCTCTGTATTCCAGCCTGGGCAACTGAGTGAAACTCCATCTCAAAAAAAGAGAAAAGAAAATGAATGAGAACTAAAGCCTAGCAGTCAGAGCTATGAGTGCAGGCAAACAGCCTTGCGTGCCTCTCTAATTCTAGGTAGCATTGCTGTATTTCAGCAAGCTGCAATCATTGACAGTCATAATGATGACTTCCAGTCAATAAGAGAAACTTAAATCATACTCAGCATCTCTTATTTAAGAAGGAAGCCTTAAAATAATTTTGGCAATTAAAGGTATAAGTTTCTATTCCTAGAAAAGTCCCCTTATTCTCTAATGATGGTAGGCAAAAAAAGAAGTTGCTATACCCATTAATGCTGAAACTAAAGCAGGATCCTGCTGCTACCTTTTCACACCCTTACTTAGCTGAGCCGTAGAGCTCCCAGGCTTTGGCAATTCCCAGGGCCAGTCCCTTGCTGGGATTATTAGAGAGGATCTTGGCAGCTTCTTTTGTCTTACTCAGGACACTGAGAACATGTCTGTTGGAAGAGAGATGACTGTTCAGTAATTGGATGGACCTGGAAGACCCCTCTGCCCATGACCTCATAGATACAGCATGACTCTGAGCATCAGTTGAGCACTAAGAAGCATCCTACCATCACATTCCTGGAGGATCCACTTCAGGTTGGAATATGCTGGGCTGCTGTAACCCTGGCCCTTGATGTACATGTCTAGGGGAGACCTAAGAGCCTCTGTCCCCACCCCAATCTACCCCAGCCTCCCAGTGAACTGGGACCCCTTACCCTAGGCCTCCAGGCACTGTCTGGAGCCCTGTGCAGACCATCTAAAATCACTGCAACTTGGAACATCACTGCTGGCTAGAAATGGATGCTACTAGGCCCAGACCCCAGGTAGAAGTTCCTACATTCCTCTCTCTGGGGCTCTCAAGATATTGTTTCTTCTGCTTGTACAATGAAGGGACAGGACTAGATGAGCCATAAGGTCCCTTTTCTCCATGACAAACCAAGGATCTAATTACAAGTGGAAACTGCTGTGGAGTGGCTGGGGAAACATGTGACCCAGGGCCCAGGAAAGCATTGGTTTACACAATAGGTATAATAACACAAGTCATAGGTGGAGTTCCCTGGCCTAGCCAGTGACTATAGACCCTCAGGATGTCACCCTACAGGTATGCCTGGGGCTGCCCAAGGGACCCACCGGTGCACAGCTGGGGTCCGGGAGGCCAGGCCCCCAAAGCTGGCAGAGATGGTGTTGATTTCGATCTGTTTCAAGACTGGGGAGCCATCTGCGCTGCACTGGAACATGTAGTCTGAGCGGTTCAGGCCCAGGAACACGGTCTGTGGGGAAAACTGAAGGCTGACAATATCTGCCCAGGGGCTGTCTCTGAGGACCTAGCCACAGAGCAGACAGGTACCATGAACTCTACATAGAGATCAGAGGCACCAGTGAACACTCCCCAGCCCAGTGGGATCATTCTTCTGGTCATCCTAGAATTGGTCACGGGGATAAACCCACTGGGGACCAGTGAGAGGCAGATTCTCATGAGCTGAGGGCCTGGACCAGATTCTTCTAGCAAAACAAAAAACAAACAGAGAAGGGAGGGGCAGTTTCCAGACTAGAGTGGGACTGGGAACGGTTACCTGGGCAATGCCCTCTTTTAGGACTTGCTTGTGGATATCAAAGAGACGAGCAGTAAAATCATCCCGTTTGATGGTGCTGGAGGAAGAAACAGAGAACATTTTGCAGGCTTAATTGGACCTAAAACGTCAAGGAGTCCCATCCCCACTCATTGACTCCTGAATCCTCTGAGTCTACTGGCCATAACTTGAATGTCCACCCTAATCTGGCAGAGAACAGTGGCTAAGAATCCAGCTCTAGACCTGGGCTCAAATCCTACTCTACCACTCACTAATAGGCAACCTCGGGGAATCATTTCACCTCTCTGTGTCTCAGTTTGCTGATTTATAAAATGGAGGGAAGATAATTATATTTATATCCTAGGGTTGTGGTAAAAAGTCAGTAAGATATTACATTAAAAAAACAGAACATACTGCTCCAAAGAAGAGTTAAAAAATGACATGATATACCTGTTCTACACTTGAATAGCTCTGATGGTTGGCAAGCTTTCTGGTTAACATAATACTAACTCTCCATAGCTTTTCCTACACTCTGGGACCTCCCAGGCCAAGCCTTCTCCTTCTCCTCCATGGCAGCCCTCAGAGATTAGAAGACAGCAGTTATTCCCTGTGTACCAATAAGATTTTTCTGACCCAAGCTAAATATCCTGTTTTTTTTTTTTTTTTTTTCCAACTAGTCCTCCTATGATGTGATTTCCTCAGGGAAGCCTTCCCTATCTGGGTCAGATCCCCCTGCTATGTGTTCTCATAGAACTAAGAACCACTCCTTTATAGCACTGACTGCAGTTGCAATTTTAAATTTTATTTGTGTGATGATTAGTGTCATCTCTCCTGTTTGACTATAAATGTCATGAAGGTAGTCGCTGTGTCTACGCAGCCTCATTGTCATAACCCAGTGTACTGCCATGACGTGACATGTGTTAGGGACCTATCCAGCATGGTTTTCTGGAGCTTCAAGAAGAGCCACAGTAAGAAAAAAATCCACAAGTAATTAACATCACATGTATTGCCCTTTGAGCTTCAGGGTGGATTCTGCACACTTCCCTTTTTCTGAAGAGGTTCTCTCCTTCATGTGTTGTAGAGGTTCTTCTCCCTTAGGAACTATGGTTTGTATGTGTATGAGAGGAGAGAGGAACAGAGAAGGCAGGGGTTGCAGAGATGAGCTGCAGGTCTCCTACATAATTTTATCATTAGGGTAAAAGTCATGAGCCAGGCTGCTCATGTTTCCTGATCCAAGATTGCAAGTACAAAGCTGGCTCCATTCCAGGAAACAGCTCAGGGGGAAGGTGGTGGGGAGATTCATACATTCACGACTCATTGGATTTTCAGCTACAAGTCAATAGGTTTCAAGCTTCTTACCATTATGACCTCTTCTCATATTCACCCAAAAATTTTAAAAGATTTTGTCTCTAACAAAATAGTTATTTCTGTTGAAAAATTAATCAAAGACATCCAATTACCAGTTGAACATCCCTTATCCAAAACGCTTAGGACCAGAAGTCTTTCAGATTTTGGAAGATTTGCATATATGTAATGAGATATCTTGGGGTTGGGACTCAAGTCTAAACACAAAATTCATTTGTTTCATATATACCTTATACTCATAGCCTAAAGATTATTTTACAGAATATTTTAAATAGTTTTGTGCATGAAACAAACTTTTGACTGTGTTTTGACTGCACCTGTCACATGACATCAGGTGTGGCGTTTTCCACTGGTAGAATCATGTGGTGTTCAACAAGTTTTAAATTTTGGAGCATTTCAGGTTTTGGATTTTTGGATTAGGGATGCTCAACCTGTACAGTATATACACATCTAGCATAATATTTATAGATATTTAATTCTAAAATGAATATATAAAATATGTATTATATATAATAAAAAAAAAATATATATATATATATATATTTTTTTTTTGAGATGGAGTCTCGCTCTGTCACCCAGATTGGAGTACAGTGTTGCGATCTCAGCTCACTACAGCCTCTGCCTCCTGTATTCAAGTAATTCTCCTGCCTCAGCTTCCCAAGTAGCTGGGATTACAGGTGCCCGCCACTACACGCAGCCAATTTTTTGTATTTTTAGTAGAGATGGGGTTTCGCCATGTTGGCCAGGCTGGTCTCAAACTCCTGACCTCAAGTGATCCACCCACCTCGGCCTCCCAAAGTGCTGGGATTACAGGGATGAGCCACCATGCCAGCCTATTTATATTTTAATTCTAAAATAAATTAAGACATTTTAATAAATTGCCCCAGAATCTGAAGGAAAAAAAAAAAAGATCAAGGGAAAGAGACAGAGAAGGGTGGATGGACTGAGCCGTTTCAGAGGTTGCTTCCTCACGCCCTGAGTGTGGCACCCCATCCCACCCAACAATGAGGCCTGGGATGACAAGAAAGGGTTGCTGCTTAGGAGAAGTAGAAAATCTGACTTTAAACCCAATAACCTTCTCTACCTCTGTTTTCCTCCAAAACTAGGCTGACTTTCCCTAATTCCAAAGAGAAATATCAGTCTTCAAAGTAGGGTGTCACGGATTACAGAATGTCAACAATGAAAGTGATCTTGGATTTAAGCCAATCTTTCCATTTTTAAGATAAAGAAACCTTAGGCCCAGAAAAGGAAAGGGAGTTGCTTGAGGCCATATAAATAACTGGTTGAGCCAGGATTAGAAGTCAGCTTTCCTGACTCCTATGACTTTTTGTTCTTGGTAGGTACCTTTCCTCTGTTCCACCAAATCAGCTGACACAGTAACACCTCATGGCTCCCCCATTACCAGTTCCTTGGTTCTAGCAGCTCCTGGCCCCCACTTCACTGCCCCCTACCTGGCGAGAGTTTGCTCCAGGAAGGCAGCGTTCTGGCTGACAGCATCCACTAGCAGGTTGAAGTCCATCTGCACAGCATAGGCTTGCTCCAGCAGGGCACTGGGCACCAGTGAAGGGAAGAGCGTGAATGGGGCATAGCTCACCACCTGTGATCAAGAAGAGAGAATGGGACAAGCGTAGAACACCTGTGAACGGGCTGTCTTGCAAATGTAACCCCATGGAAAGTCTGGCCTACATTTACTGAGGACACACCAACTGTAGATTAGTGGTTACCTTGGGAGGAGCAGAAGGGGAAGAGTGGTACAAAGAGAGCTTTCAGATTCTGTGATAGTTTATCTCTACATACTAAAGAGAGAGAAGCAAAAAAGCAAATCACAAAAAGAAACCCACAAAAAGTTATTGAGCATTTACTATGTGTAAGGTACTATTTTAAACACTTTACATCGATTCATCATTTAGCCCTGTGAGGAAAATACTCGTATTTATTTTTATTTTTTATTTTTTTAGAGACAGAGTCTCACTTGGCTATCCAGGCTGGAGTACAAGTGGCGCGATCTCAGCTCACTGCAGACTCCACCTCCTGGGCTCAAGTGATTCTCCTGCCTCAGCCTCCTGATTAGCTGCAATTACAGATGTGCACCATCATGCCTGGCTAATTTTTATATTTTCAGTAGAGACAGGGTTTTCCCATGTTGGCCGGGCTGGTCTTGAACTTCTGATCTCAGGTAATCCACCCACCTCAGCCTCCCAAAGTGCTGGGATTACAGATACTATTATTATCCACACTTAACAGAGAAGGGACCTGAGACAGAGAGGTTTACAGACTATAACAAAATTATATTCAGCCAGTAAGTGGTGCTGGGATTTGAACCAGGGTAGTTACTAAACAACACACACACATGTGCGTGCTTGCGCACAGGTGCACACACACACATACACACACATATACACACAGAAGCCTGCTCCTTGCTAGCTGATGTTCAAGCCCAGGCCCCTCCATGCATCAGGAGCTCACACTCCAGTCCCCTCGCCTTTTGATTTTGATTTGGTTACTGAGTAGGACAAATGTTAAAAAAAAAAAAAAAAAAGTGAACTCTGGTTCCCTTAGTAGAAGCCAAGAGTGTTTTTTTCCACCAATGTTAGAGATGGTGACTCAGGTTAACAGGCCTAGAGTTCAGCTGCATTCTGCATTCTTTGGACTTTAACATAGACAAGAAACCCAAATACCATTGAGGACACTGATTCTAGAAGGGAAAGTGCATTCTGAGATCCCTGCCAACAACTGAACTAGAACTTGGGTAAGAGATGAAAAGAAAATCTTGTGACTTGTATTATGAAGAATCCCTGAGTTTAACCTTTGAGTTAATATCAGTTTGTCATTAGGGTAGTATAAGTTTATGGTGTTATAACTTGATATTTATATATTTATTTTAAAAGTACTATTTTTTTTGAGATGAAGTTTTGCTGTGTTACCCAGGCTGGAGTGCAGTGGTGCAATCTCTCTCTGCAACCTCCACCTCGTAGGTTCAAGCAATTCTCTTGCCTCAGCTTCCCAAGTAGCTGAGACTACAGGTGCGTGCCACCACACCTTGATAATTTTTATATTTTTAGTAAAGATGGGGATTTCACTGTGTTATGATCCACCTGCCATGGCCTTCTAAATTGTTGGGATTACAGGCGTAAGCCACCATGCCCAGACAAAATATTATTTTTTTAACAGATAATATAAATACATGATACAAAATTCAAAAGAAACATAAGAATACATAGTGAGAAGTATGTCTCACTCTCATTTCAGTCTCCTGGGGAAAAAACTGTGGTCCAGCCACCAGTTCTCCAACCCAGAGGCAAATGACAGATTAGTGTCTCACACAACCTTCTAGTCATCTTTATATTGACATATAGGTATACATATATATATTTTCTCCTTTTTCACTCCCACAGCAAACTATACTACATTGTGTTTTTTAAATATTTCCTTATATGTTCAAATACAGCATTTTCATTGATATTTTTAGTTGCTGTAGAGTATTCCACTCTTTGGATATACCGTAATTTATTGAATCTAGTATATAGGTAGTTTGTTTATTTTCTCATTACCATTAATGTTTTAATAGGTATCCTAGAAATATGCATTCTAGGTATTTTGTAGATGAGAAAGTCCATACATTCTAAATTTCTAAAAGTAAAAATATCAGGTAATTCAAGTAAATTCATTTTAAATTTTGGTAGATAATTCCTAAATTACCCTTCCCAGCATCTTTTTTTTTTTTTTTTTGAATGGGGTCTTTCTATGTTGCCCAGACTGGAATACAGTGGCCATTCATAGGTGCCATCATAGTGCCTCAAACTCCTGGGCTCAAGCAATCCTCCTGCCTCAGCCTCCCAAGTAGCTGAGACTACAGGTATGCACCACCACCCCAGCCCCAGCATGTTTTAAGATAAAACTGAGGAAGGCTGTTTGTGAGAATAAGGTTTATTCGGCCTAAAGCCTTTAAGAGTTAGAATGGGAATTATTGCAGATTACATAAGGGGTGACCTAATATCCTGAGTACCTATGTGATGACTACAGGAGCATTTCCTTGGCTTTAACACTAGAACTCTGCTGCCCACAACAAGTCTCATCTTGGCCTGAGAAACTCAAAGAGTTTTTCTGCTAAGACTTCCCTCTGCCTCTGTCCCAGGACTCGTTATGCCCTCCTGAATTTAGTATCAATAGTATATAGTTATTCTCTGCTATCTACAGGCTAAAGGCTGAAACACACAATCTTCTCACTTTTGATAGAGACATGAACATAAAATGACATTATTGGCTTAGCATGGTGGCTCATGCCTATAATCCCAGTGCTTTGGGGGGCCTAGGCAGGCAGATCACAAGGTCAGAGATCAAGACCATCCTGGCCAACAGAGTGAAACCCCGTCTCTACTAAAAATACAAAAATTAGCTGGGTGTGGTGACACGCACCTGTAGTCCCAGCTAGCTGGGAGGCTGAGGTAGGAGAATCACTTGAACCTTGGGAGGCAGAGGTTGCAGTGAGCTGAGATTGTGCCACTGCACTTTAGCCTGGTGACAGAGTGAGTGTTTTGACTCCACCTCAAAACAAAACAAAACAAAAATTATTCTACTATTTTAAAAAAGCTGTAGCATGTGCATGACAAAATTCTTCTTTGAAGCCAGGTAAGCAACAGGGAGTGATAGGAATTGTGGCAAAAAGAAGGACTTGCATCTTCTCTAAAGGGGGCAGCCAGAACTCTGCTCTAGCCAATTGCCATATAGGAAAGTAGACCAGGGTTGCCAGATGATATAATTTTTCAAGACAAGTTGCATTGCTAGAATTTTTTTTTTATTTCATGATTTTTTTTTTTTTTTAAATGTTGGTTCTGACTTTTTAAAAATACTCTGGTGAAAAAAACTGTTAACAATGCTTGCCCCTGGTCGGGCCAACAGTGGCTGGTGGGAGGGGACTTACTCTTTACTGAATACCCTTTTGAATTTTGCACCGTGTTCAAATGTATTTGAATGTATTACCTATTGCAAAAAAATAAGCTAACTCCCCAAACACTGCAGGAGCCAAATATTCAGCCTGGATACGGCTGGTTTACAGCTCTAATCTACAGGATAAAGTTCACACTCCTCCTCCACCCAGTACCTAAGGCCCTTTGGCTGTCTGACATTGGCCTGCCCTCTTTCCCACTACATCCACTTATGTGCCCTGAATTTCAGTTGCATTCTCTTCAACTTTGTTTTTTTTGCCTTTTCCTACTCTTGGGTCCTTACTATGCTGTTCCTTTTTCCTATTTGTCTTTTAAGGTCTAGTTCAAGTACCACCCTCCATCTCAATCACCTAATCATAATGAATTACTCTTTCTTCCAGGTGTCCTTTATAGTATCTCGGGAAAGGAAAAAGAGCATGGATGTTCTGAGCATGGACTCAGGAGCCAAATTCTTTGGGCTTATATCCTGGCTCTGCCAATTATTTTACCATTTAAATGACCTCAGGTAGGTTACTTAGCCTCCCTGGGCTTTGGTTTCCTTATCTCTGTTGTGGTGAGGAGTCAGTGATTCCAAAGTGTTTAGAGTAATGCCTGGCACATCGTAAATACTCAATAAATGATAGTTAACATTGTGTAGCAGACTGCCTATGTTTCCTGATAGAGCTGACATTATTCAATTTCATTTTATGATATGTTCTCTAACTAGACCAGCAGCTCTAGAGACTAGGGCTCTGGCTGACTCACCTCTCTATCCTCAGTGCCTAGAATGGCCTGGCATAGAGCAGGTATTTGGCAAAGAATGGTAAAGATTTGGAGTAAAATCACACACACACACACACACACGCACATGCACATGTGCACATGCATTTTCTGACTTTTCTTCTGGATTAGAAATCTCACTGTGGATTGTGCCTTTTCTAGGCTCCATTAGCTTCCAGAAAGACCAAGTACTGGATTTTCACCCAGTCCCTATAGATTAGCAGAAGAAATAAAAGCTTTAAAGGGAAAATGCTTCATCTTAGATGCATACAAGTAATTCACAAAATCTAGGTTCTATTCCATACCATCAGTCTGGCTTAGGTGACAGACACGGTCATTTACTTGGGCCTTAGCAAACACTGAGTATGGACTCCACCAGGCCTGTATTAGGTTCTGGGCACACAGAGACAAAAAAGAATGGGGCTGGCTAAAAAGAAAAGATGTTGGCAGCTCTTTAGTCACCAATATGAATGATCTATTTTTTAATTTAATTTTATTTTTTTGAGACGGAGTTTCACTCTTGTTACCCAGGCTGGAGTGCAATGGCGCAATCTCGGCTCACCGCAACCTCCGCCTCCTGGGTTCAGGCAATTCTCCTGCCTCAACCTCCTGAGTAGCTGGGATTACAGGCACGTGCCACCATGCCCAGCTAATGTTTTGTATTTTTAGTAGAGGTGGGGTTTCACCATGTTGACCAGGATGGTCTCAATCTCTTGACTTTGTGATCCACCCGCCTCGGCCTCCCAAAGTCCTGGGATTACAGGCTTGAGCCACCACGCCCGGCTTATGAATGATCTTAAGGTGTACTGTTAAGTTAAAAAAAAAGGCAAGTGCAGAAGAGCTTGTCTAGTATGCTTGTCTGTGTAAAAAGGAGGCTGGGTATGGTGTCTCACACCTGTAATACAGCATTTTTGGGGGGCAGAGGCTGGTGGCTCACTTGAAGTCAGGAGTTTGAGACCAGCCTGGACAACATGGTGAAATCCTGTCACTAAAAAGAAAATATATCAGCCAAGTGTAGTGGTGCATGCTTGTAGTCCCAGCTACTCAGGTGGCTGAGGTGGGAGAATCACTCGAACCCAGGAGGCGGAGGTTGCAGAGAGCCGAGATTGTACCACTACACTCCAGCCTGGGCAACAGAGCAAAGCCCCAAGGAATATATTTACTTGTGGTTAGTTAATTGTTATGAATAAGCCATCTGAAAGAATAAACAAGAATACCTAAACACAGGCTTTGTGCCCTTTGAATTTGAACTATGAAAATGTCTTATCTAGTCACCCAATTTGAAAAAGCTTTTTATTTATTTTTCCCAAATATGAAATTTTAAAAAGATGTGGTTTGGACTGGGCAGTTCTACTTGTGTGTGTTGACCCTGGAGAAAACTCACACAGGTGCCCCAACAGACATACGCATGGATGTTCCCTAGAGTGCTATTTATGGTCATAAAGACATTAGAAATCACCTCAATAGACATCAGTAGAGGAAAGTTAAACTGTGATACACCCACACCTGGAATACTATGCCTTAGAATAAAGTTGACCCTAATGGAAGGCATTAGAAATTCTAAGACAGCCGGGCATGGTGGCTCACGCCTGTAATCCCAGCACTTTGGGAGGCCGAGGCGGGTGGATCACAAGGTCAGGAGTTCGAGACCAGCCTGGCCAAGATGTTGAAACCCCGTCTCTACTAAAAATACAAAAATTAGCTGGGCCCGGTGGCACACACCTGTAATCCAAGCTATTCAGGAGGCTGAGGCAGGAGAATCACTTGGACCTGGGAGGCGGAGGTTGCAGTGAGCCAAGATTGTGCCATTGCACTCCAGCCTGGGTGACAGAGTGAGACTCTGTCTCAAAAAAAAAAAAAAAAAAAGAAATTCTAAGACAGGCCGGGCACAGTGGCTTGAGGTCAGGAGTTCGAGACCAGCCTGAACAACATGGAAAAAACCTGTTTCTACTAAAAATACAAAATTAGCCAGGTGGTGGCAGGTGCCTGTAATCCCAGCTACTTGGGAGGCTGAGGCAGGAGAATTGCTTGAACCCGGGAGGCAGAGGTTGTGGTGAGCCGAGATCATGCCATTGCACTCCAGCCTGGGCAACAAAGGCGAAATTCTATCTCAAAAAAAAAATAATAAAAAGTTCTAAGACAGACTGTTAAAGAAAAAAAAAACATATCATAGAATAATATATATGATCCAATTTGATTTTTTAAAAAGACATATTTCTGTATATACATGCCTATGTATATAAATGCACAGAGAAAGACTTGAAAGTATATAATCACAAACAATTGCAGAGAAAGCATAGTCTTCTCTTTCTGATTATGGGGCTCTTCAATAACAGCTCACTGGGCAAAGTGCTTTACGTGAAATTATCCTCTAATTCTCTTACCAAACCTGTAAGGTTGTTTCTATTATTGTTCCATTTTTATATCTGAAGAAACTGCAACTGAGAGGGGTTAAGTAACTTGTCTATGTCACACTTCAAACACCATATTTAAATTTGATAATTCCATCATGCCTCTTTTTTACTTTCTACTTCTAGAGATCAATTTTAGTTACTGAAAAAAATAAAGCTAAAGAGATGTGGTCCCTGATGCAAAGGAGCGACCCCCAGCCTGGCCAGGGCCAGACAGTGGGCGACGGTGAATGCTGTGGGGAGAAGCTGGGGGCTTACATCCGAGGAAGTGGGCTCCTGTGAGGTCCTCAGCAACACTCCCTCAGCCAGGGCCCGGTCCACGGCCTGCCGTGCCAGCTCCTCTAGCTGCTGCTCATCTTGCAAGAGGTTCCCCCAGTTGGTAGCCATCCCAACACCTGCAAAATATGGAGAGAAAAGAGCTTGGTGACAGATGGCCTGCAGCCCTGCAACCACTGAAACTGGCTGGCGGTCACCCCCAACACAGAAGGACCCTGACCTCTGTTGGAAGGGAACAGTGTGGTACAAAGGAGTGAACGCTGGCTGGTTCTAGCTCTTAACAACTTTCACGTGCACAGAACAGAAAGCTTGACAAAGCATTTCCATTGCCACTCTCTTTTGATTCCTAACACAATGACATTATTCTCACAGTAAGGAAGCAGAGGCTTGGAGAGGTGAAATGACTTGCCCTGGGTGATGACTGGTATAGCCTGGACTTAACCCATGTCTCTGGACTCCCACCCCAATGCTCTTCATTGGAGAAAGAGGCACTAATATCAGATGTGACTGAAACAAGTTCCTTTCCCTCCCAGAGCTACAGATTCCCTAACTGTGAAACAAGAAAGATGGGGTATATCAGTAGTTTCCAAACCTGGCTGAACATTCTGGAAAGTTTGGGAAAGTATACAGATTCCTGGGCCCTATCCCAGAGATTCTGATTTAAAAGGCCTGAAGGAAAGGATGGGTTGAGGCTTTGTATCTTTTTTATATATTTATTTCTATTTTTATGTTTTTTTACCAGTTTGTTGTCAATTTTTTTTTTTTTTAAGGTGGAGTCTCCCTCTGTCACCCAGGCTGGAGTGCAGTGGCATGATCTTGGCTCATTGCAGCCTCCGCCTCCTGGGTTCAAGTGATTCTTCTGCCTCAGCCTCCCTGAGTAGCTAGGACTACAGGTGCACACCACCATGCCCAGCTAATTTTTGTATTTTTAGTAGAGATGAGATTTCACCATGTTGGCCAGGCCAGTCTCAAACTCTTGGCCTCAGGTGACCTGCCCGCTTCGGCCTCCCAAAGTGCTGGGATTACAGGCATGAGCCACCGTGCCTGACAGAGGCTTTGTATTTTTAACAAGTTTTCCTGGGATAGGAGCCACTGCTGTACATTATTAATTTCCCTTCAAGCTCCAACAACTCATGTCAACAGATCTCAAATAAGTTACATGGGAAGGGGTAGGGAGCTCTTTGTGGAATACCATGAAATGCAAATAAAGTGAACTCCTCCCTTATACTATCCAGAAGCAAACTTAGTAACAGGAAATGATTACATCCATGTATGGACATTTATCATCACAGCACCAAAACACAGAAAATATTTTTGAGAAATCACATTAGCAAGATGGAAATCGCTGAAACCCAAGTGTCCAATGTAATGGGAGGGGTTGTCTGACTGGTTGCCCAGAGACACACAGACATGTACAGACTCACAGCCTGATACTCATTCATTTTGAAGCAGGCCTCAAGACCTGGATAAAAATCTGGAAACACAGTCATTAATTTTGTTCTGCCCTATTGTCATTTAACAGAACATGGCTGCCCAACTCAGTGGTCCCCAGAAAGAGAGAGAATGATAGGAAACCTCCATCACATTCAGCTCTGTCCCCCTCTCCCCATGACAGAGCTAGTGCTAGACCAATTATGAAAGTCTGCCAGCCTCAGTGCAATGCTTTGAAAGAATGCACACGTGACCTCAAGAGGGTCCTGATAATATTGCTGTTGAGTGAGACGTGGATGAGGGCAGTCATAGTAAAGAACAAGGCTCAAGTCAGACAGGCCTGGGTTTGAGTCCATAATAATATGAATTCCCTTTTAAAATCACTGTGTGAAATTTTTTTTTCTATTTTTTTTTTTTTCAATCAGAAACAGTATCTAGACCTGGAAGACACTGTGTGGATTAAAAGAGAAAAATCTGTGTGAAATTTCTCAGCAGTGTTTGAAGCTCTATACATGGTACCATTTTTTGGCTGTACTGACTTTACAGGTAGGAGACTTGTCAGAGGTCACACAGCAGCCCAGTGGCAGAGCAAGGACAAGATCACATTACCTTGATATTAGAGCAATGAAACCCTCCAAGAGCCCCCATCTTTCCACAACTTTGGAATTCCAACATCTCTGTTTGCTGTTAGGCTTTTATTTAGTTGGTAAACATTGATTTGCATCTAATGCCTGGCCCTGACTAGGTCCCAGGGACATGGAGAAGGTTAAGACATAAAAATAATCACCACAGGCGGAGCGCAGTGGCTCACACCTGTAATCCCAGTACTTTGGGAGGCCGAAGGGGGTAGATCACCAGAGGTCTGGAGATGGAGACCAGCCTAACCAACATGGAGAAACCCCTTCTTTACTAAAAAATACAAAAATTAGCTGGCCATGGTGGCTCATGCCTGTAATCCCAGCTACTTGGGAGGCTGAGGTAGGAGAATTGCTTGAACCGGGACCTGGGAGGCGGAGGTTGCAGTGAGCCGAGATTGTGTCACTGCACTCCAGCCTCGGCTACAGAGCGAGATTCCACCTCAAAAAAAAAAAAAAAAAAAAAAATTAGTCGGGAGTGGTGGCACATGCCTATAATCCCAGCTACTCTAGAGGCTGAAGGAGGAGAATAGCTTGAACCGGGGAGGCGGAGGTTGTGGTGAGCCAAGATCAAGCTACTGCACTCCAGCCTGGGCAACAAGAGCGAAACTCCGTTTCACTATCCTTCCTTGGCTTTATTTCTGTTTTGCTGATGACATTCAAATCTACATCTTCACAGCAATACGTTCCTACCTTCAAACTAGAATATCCAATTGCTTCCTAGGAGTCTCCACACAACCAGAATAGAATTTGCTGTTGTCTCCCACAAATCTGCTTCTCCTCAGATGAGCTCCACCTAGGTACCCAAGTCTTGAGTACTTCTTTCCTACATCTCATTTTCCCCAAATCCTATGGATGTTGCTGCCTAAGTACATAGTACTTTGAATTCTTTGATTTATCTCCATTTCCAGTGTTTGTAGCCTAGCCCCGGCCACTGTCATCTCTTCCTTGGGCACGAAACAGATTCAGAGTGAGGTATCTTCAGCAACCAGGATGCGTCCGCCTCCTTCCCCCTTCCAGGCCTTGGCTCGTGCTGTCTTCTCTTTGGAACTCTCCCCACCACTCCCGATCAGGGTTTGCGATTTAGTTTCGGAAGCCGTCCCTGTTCTCCGTCCCTGTTCTCCGCCCCGGGCTTCTACTTTCTACAGCTCATCACTTTTCCCTGTACCGTGGGAAGAGTGTTTGTCTTCATCACTTCTCTTCCTAGTATTAGCCGTACTGTATTCATTCATTAGTACTGTATTCATTCATTACATGAATGAATGAAGAATGAATGACAGACGGGCCAGATCATCCAAAGCCTGAAAACGCCCACAAGGAAACCGGTCGGACTTTATCCCCACGGCTAAGCCAGTGCTTGGAAAGGGCCCGAGGCAACAACACGGCAGGCTGCCCAGGCCGGCCCCACTTCACGGGCCCGGTCACTCCCACCCTGGACAAAGTTTGGTCCTAATCGCTTCCCGTTGTTGTTCTAACTTGCTCCAGTCTCACTGGCTCACTGGCCCCAGTACTGGCCCGATCTAAAGGCAGGAAATCCGGAAACTCTGGGATCAACGCGCACCAGCCCAACCCCCTCACTGGACACTAGTTTCTCCGCGCGTGTGAAGGGTTTCAGCCACAAGATCTCCCGGCCTCCGGAGTTCTAATCTCTCGCCAGACCCCTCCCTCACATCGTTCCTCCCGAGGAAACGTGACCCCTGCCGGCCGCCGTTGCTGCCCAAACCTACTCGTTCGCCGTCTCGCTGCGCACCGTTCTTTCGGCCCTCGCGCCGCTATCCAGGCTCAGGGGGCGGGGCTAGCGATGCGACAAAGTGCGCTTGCGCGCACCGCCCCAGCTGGGCTTAAAGAGCAGGGCGGGGATAGGGATCCGTACCTGTGGCGCCGAGCCGCGGCCCGGAAGGGGCAGTCGATGAGAGGGCGGCCTTGGCGTTAGAAGTGCGTCGGCTGCACCTTGGCGGACGGAACATGGGAAGGAGGGGAGGGGACCATCGGGGTCGGCGGGGAGCTACGGGTACGCATAGCTCATTGAGCGTCAGAGCCGGCGACGTCCTGTGGAAGATGAGGAAACTGATGCTCGGAGGGGGACAGTCACTAACTCAGGGACACACAGTTGATAGGAGTGGGGGTGGCCGTGGTAATGGAGGCCCCAGGGAGGGGCAGGGGCCCATAGCACATCAGGGGCTGAATCTGTATTAGAACCCAGCCTTGTTTCCCAGCCCAGCCAGGTCCCAGAAAAATCCCCCTGATTTTGTCTTTTTTTTTAACTTGGGATAGTAGCAGGAAAAGTCTTACAGGCGAAAGGAAAGGATTTTCATTTTTCCAGTAATGCTGAAGTTAGGACTGTTTGAGGTAACCCTGTGTTTCTCAAAAACTCCAGTACCTCTTACGTCAGGATCTGGGGCACTTTTTAAAAATATGCAGATTCATGATTCGTACCCCGACCTCACTGCTTGGCAGCCCCCATTGCCTTCCCTGTTTCTTCCTTCTGGGTTGTGATAGGCTTGTCTGCAGTCCGAAACACCTGATACGAATTTTAGTTAAATGAAATTTATCAGTCTAGGCTGTAGGGAATTAACCATGAATAAGACGCAGCCACTGCTTTCAATCTGATAAGAAGGTAGGCAATAAGTGCTTTTCTGGAGGAATCGGGGATGGCTTTTGGGGTCTTGAAGGATAGATGGGAAGGTGTAAGTAGTGGGAGAGGTAGAGGTGAGAGGCTGGGATGGGGACAGTGTTCCAAATTGTAGGAACAAAAGCAGCAAAGGCTATCTGGGCGCAGTGGCTCAGGCCTATAATCTCAGCCCTTTGGGAGGCCGAGGCAGGTAGATCACTTGAGCTCAGGAGTTGGAGACCAGGCTGAAACCTGGTGAAAACCCGTCTTTACTAAAAATGCAAAAATTAGCCTGGTGCATTGGGCCATGGCTGTAATCCCAGATACTCGGGAGGCTGTGGCGGGAGAATCCTTGAGCCCCGGAGGCGGAGGCCGTAGTGAACTGAGATCGCACCGCTGCACTCCAGCCTGGGTGACAAGAGTAAGACCTTGTTTCAAAAGCAAAGCAAAAAAAACAGGCATATAATTCTGAGGGTTGCTCGGCTTGTTTTACAGACTCTGAGGAGTTTGGTGTGGATAATGAGGAAGGGTCTGAGAGTTGCAGCAGGATTTGAGGCTTAGGCTTGGAGAGGTAGCCTTGGATGCCAGTTCCACGAGCAGCAGGAGCTGTATAAGGGCTTTAAGCAGGGGAAAGACATGGTCAGTTTTGTGTGTTAGGCATTGGTTACAGCGTGGCAAATGGTTTGGAAGTGGGGAGAGAGAGTTAAGATGTGAGATGATGAGGTCTTAGCCAGTGCAATGGCTATGAAGATGGAGTGAAGGGAACAGATTAAAGAAATTTAGGAGTGAGAACTCCTGCTGATCTCAAGTGAGTGGCTCAACCCAACCCAACCCAGGGACCAAGATCCTTTTGACTCTTTTTTTTTTTTTTTTTTTTCAGGCTGGAGTGCAATGGCATGATCTTAGCTCACTGCAACCCCCACCTCCCAGGTTCAAGCAATTCTCCTGTCTCAGCCTCCCAAGTAGCTGGGATTGCAGGTGCCTAGCATCACACCCAGCTAATTTTTGTATTTTTAGTAGAGACAGCATTTCACCATGTTGGCCAGGCTGGTCTTAAACTCCTGAGCTCAGGTGAATCACCTGCTTCAGCTTCCCAAAGTGCTGGGATTACAGGCATGAGCCACTGCAGGCGGTCCTTTTTGACTCTTTAAATAAAGCATATACATTATCTGACTACAGGACGGGCTGAGTCCTCCAGTCTTCCCTGTGTGGTCACAGGGTGGGGGGTGATGGTGGCAGATAGATGTCTGGTTATTCCCAGAACGGTGTTTCCTGATGACCTGTCCTTGTTGGCTTTTGTACCTGAGGGGATACGAAGTAGCTGTTAACTATAATAGGCCCCAGGTGGCAGGAAGAGGCTACTGGGTCAACCAGGAACAAAAGAAGCTATTTCTAGTGCAGCATGAAATTAAAAATCAAATACATGACCCAGGGTTCTCTGTGCAGGTTCCCCTCTTCCAAGATGTGTGCCAAATGATGAGTATCAGGTGTCTATGGTGAGATTTGGGAAGGACCCCAGACCTTAACAGCCCTTTGGTCGAATCCCCTCACACTGTGGCAGGTAAGATGTCTTTATTCCCATTTTGCAGATGTGGCAGCTGAGCCGCAGACGTTATGTTACTTGTTCAAGGTGACCCAGTTTGTGGTGGGACTGGGAGTGAAGGGCTCTTGACCAAGGAACTTTCCAGGGAGGTTTTGCCCTTTCTGCTCCTTCTGCCTGGATGCTCTCCTCCAAAATCCTGGCATGACTGGCTCCTTTGGTCATTCACATGTTTCATCCCTGGAGGCTGCCCCACCCCCTAAGTCTGTATCACATTATCCTTTGTATAGTCTTTTTTTGGAGGGGGGAGGGGGATGGAGTCTTGCTCTGTCACCCAGGCTGGAGTGCAGTGGCATGATCCCGACTCAGTGCAACCTCAGACTCCCGAGTTCAAGTGATTCTCCTGCCTCAGCCTCCTGAGTAGCTGGGATTACAGGCGCACACCACCACACCTGGCTAATTTTTGTATTTTCAGTAGAGACAGGGTTTCACCATGTCGGTCAGGCTGGTCTCAAACTCCTGACGTTGTGATCTGCCTGCCTCAGCCTCCCAAAGTGCTGGGATTACAGGTGTAAGCCACCACACCTGGCGTTGTGTTTTCTTCATAGCAGTTATTCATATCTGAAATTGTCACTTTTACTTGTCTGCTGCTTCCCTCTGCTAGAATGTGAGCCCCATGGAAACAGGGACCATATTTGTTCACTACTTTACCCCTAGTACCTGGACTAGTGCCTGCTGTATGGCAGATGCTCAGTAATATTTGCTAACTGATGGAAATGGGTTGGGGAGAGAGAAAGAGAAGGAAACCAACATTTGGTGAAAGTTGAGGATGTTTCAAGTACTTTTCACAAATTACCTCATTTAATCCCCTTGCAGACTTCCAAGGTAGAAATCATGTCTCCATGGGGTGAGTAAGAAACCATACTAAGCCAACGTGGTTTGTTATGTTTGAGGCTATAGACTTATCTGAGAATCTCCATTGGGCACAAAATTTTGCATAAACTTCGTGGAGGAATTCACAGACCTTCTCAGGCTCGCTTGGGGATCTCAGATCAAGAAACCTAGGATTGGCTGGGCATGGTGGCTCATGCCTGTAATCTAAGCACTTTGGAGGTCAAGGCGGGCGGATCACCTGAGGTCGGGAGTTGAAGACCAGCCTGACCAACATGGTGAAACCCCATCTTTATTTTAAAAAATAAAAAAAAAAAAAATAAAAAATATATTTAATAAAAAAAAAAAAAAAAAAAAGGAAACCTAGGATTGGGGAACATGCCTAGGGTCTTTCTGGCCCCAGACCTTTGCTGAATCCTCACTGCCTGGCAAGGTTGGAGTCCATATAGTGGATGATTGAGAATCTGCTGAAGATTCTGGAGCAGAGGGAGATGATTTGCCCTGAGCCTTTAGTGTCTCAAACCTGAGTTTGAATCCTGACTGTGGAGAAGTCATCTTACCGCTCTGAATCCCACTTTCCTCACTTTCAAAGTGAAATCTATTTTTTCCTAACAATAACTACCATTTATTGATCTGGTCGCCAAGCGCCAGCTACTTGGTTAATGACTTTACAGTCATTATCTCACTTTCCCTTACCTCTCTATGAAGTCAGTATCTTTATAGCCTCCATTTTACAGCTGGGGAAGTGAAGGCTTGAAAAGGTATCCTGACTTGCCAAAGATCACAGCAGTACTATTAGCCATGGTGTTCCCACACATGTACCATGGGATGTGCCGTGGGCTCAGACTTCCCAAAGCTAACTGTTGAATCAATTGCATTCTCTGTTCTTGGGGTTTGTGGGAACATTTGAGTCTGAATTAGGTGAAAAAAGGTATAGAGGGATTTACTTCACCGTGAATGGAGGCCACTTCCCCAACTTTGTGCCTTATGTTTCTCCCTGCGAGGTCCTCTCTCCAAGTCTGGACTATGCCTTTTGATTGGGACATCTCTGTCAGCCCCAGGGTCTGGATCGTATGTGGTCTGCGTCTGTGCACATGGCTCCTGTGTCTTTTTAGTGGTGACATCACCCCGCCTGGTACTGTTGTTTATGAGGCCGTCTACCCACCTGGCTGGGGGCCACTGCTTTGGTCATTCAGAGTGGAATTCCTCTGTCTTCCAGCCCCCAGCACAGGCCTGGCCCAGTATTGCTGCTCAGGAAATGCCTGTGGAATCAAAGTGAGGACTGTCCCAGGTGTTGAGGATTTACTGTGTTCTAGGCCTGTCCCTGACACTTTGTATGTGTTATCTCATTTACACCCCCACAGTCATCCTGGAAGGGAGAAGTTCTCCACATTTTACTGAGAAGAAACAGGCTGATTGAAGTTGGGCTTTGCCTTAGGCCCACTTGTGATGATTGATGGCACCAGGGCCAGCTCTTGGGTCTGTGCCCTGGTCGTGCTTGATGACTCTTGGAGGTGTGTGGGCTGAAAAAGGGGAAACACACTTCGAGGCCCCCAGGATCCTCACAGACCTTCTACTAACAGGTTCCTAGTCCAGCTCTCATTTCATCTGTGAGGACACAGAAGCCTAGAACGGAGAGATAACTTACTTGTAGACCTTCTTCTCTACTTGTTAGGTATTTATGTATCCACTTACTTTTAGGCAGAATGGGTCTGTTTTGACTCACCATTGCACCACCCAGGTAGCCCAGTGCCTGATCCAGGTTGATGCCC